CTTCCGTCAACAACACCAGCAAAGAGGTACTTGCCCTCGGGGAAACTGGACTTGATCAAGTCAAGGGTCTTGGTGCCACGGATCAAATCAAATCCAAAGGCAGTCACACCCTTCAATGAAGTAAGGGTCTTGTATGCTTCAGCAGGGACATCAGCGAAGTAGGTCTCCACAAGAACATTCAAACCAGATAGAGTTGATTCAAGCTCAGCATAGGCAGCGCTAAAAGCCTGGAGTTTGTGAGCCTCAAGATCCATAACAAAAAGAGGCTCATCAAACTGAATCCAGGTGGCACCAGCTCCCTTAAGCTCCGCAATGACTTCCTTGTAGATTGGGAGAATTTTGGGTAGAAGGGAGAGAAGATCAAATGACTTCTCAACACCCTTTGCAAGCTTGGAAAGAAGCAAGTAAGAGACAGGACCAACAAGTACAGGGACGGTATCAACACCAAGCTGCATAAAACAACACCACATTAGAAACTTTCAATAACAGAACAAAAGAAGCATCTGTTCAAACGGTACGTACAGCCTTAGCCTCCTTGTACTCATTCACAGCCTTGTGAGATGCGTAAGAGAATTTCACTTCAGGGCCCAACTCCGGAACGATGTAATGGCTGCAACAAACAAACAAACCAAGTTAACCACACAAACTCAATAACAACGTCACTGCAAAGGAGCACAAAAGATAAAAGAGTAAAAAAAAAACTCACTAGTTGGTGTCAAACCACTTGGTCATTTCCATGGCTGGAACAGAGGCGTTACCTCTAGCCATGGAAAAGTAAACATCGAAACCGATCTCGCCACTGTTCCATCCGTATCTCGGTGGAACAGCACCGAGCATAGCGGTGGTATCAAGCACCTGGTCATAGTAAGCAAAAGTGTTGCTTGGGATGTACTTAATCCCAGCTGAAGACATCTGCTTCCAGATATCAGACCTGAGATCAGCCGACACCTTCTGCAAATCATCTGCACTGCTCTTACCATCCCAGAAAGACTCCAATGCAAACTTGAGCTCTCTCTTAGGTCCCATACGAGGATATCCAACAATGTGTGAAGCCATTTTTGATTATATTTTTTTTTTAACTACATACCAAAATACAAATCTAAATCAGCCACTGAATCAAACACGAATCGCTATAAATCGGAATCAAACGCAGAAAAAAACAATCATTTGAAGATGATGATGATGACAAAAAAAAGATCGGAGTTCAGATCTACGGATATGGATCACATCAAAACATCACCAGATCTAATGATTCATGATTGAAAAATTCGCTCACCGGATTAGATCTAAGTATTGAATTTACAAAACGAGAAATGAAACGAAATTTCCAATTGGTGAAAGGAAAACGAAATCGAAAAGCTAAATAAGAGAGTGAAAGAGACGGGAATAGTCATGAGGAAGCCATGGAAACTCGGAAGCGTACCTTACGGAGATTCAAGAAGGGGAAAAAAAAGGGTTGGATCGAAGATGGGCGAGAGAGCGAAGATGGAGAGTGGCTCTCTAACCTTATTTATAGCGAAAACTATTAATCATCATCGTTTCGTGTTTTTTTTCTTTTCTCTCACTCACTCTCAATGGTGGTGGCTGAATAATTTCTATTAAAAGTAAATATTTTATACATACAACTTTTTTGACGGCAAATAAATATACAATTTATACACACGCCTAGTTCATAATTCATAAATACACCGTATATTAGTGTGTTTAATCATAAATATCAAATTGATTAAAGTGGATTTTGATACCAAAAAATGTTATAATATGATACTACTAGTAAGTAAAAAAAATATGGATTTTACAGCATGTTTATACTCACGATGGAGTTTTTGTTTTTAGCTTGAAATTTTATAGTCAAACTTGTACAGCTTTTGAAAATTATACATTTGTAGCCGGGTTAGATAAAGACAAATGTATTGATGGCACGACAGTAGATTTCTCGGTTTTGATTTAGATAAATATAGAAAATTACAAATTTTGCTTATATAAAGAAATTTATAAAAAGTATATAAATGATTAATTAGAGGGTTAATTACGGAACTAAAAAAAATGTGAAGAAAGGGAGGAGAGTTGGTGTGTACACAATACATGAGGAGAAGGAAGTAGCGGGATTGGTGGATGGAGCCCACGATGGGGTTGGTGAGATTCACAATCTAATCTCTCAGCAAAACGACAACGTTTTCGGGAGTAAGTACCAACTGTGCCATAGAATTTGAGATTTGTTCGGTAAACAAAGTAGGTGAAGGATATTATATTTCCTACACGTATGATATAGTAGGAAATTATATTTTATTCTATTCAAAATGTGTTTTTGGTGTAGTGATGAATCACACAATTTTATATAAAT